CATGAAAGAGAAATAAAGATAAATCCTTCAACAAAAATTTGAGATGAGAAAGTATGCCTTATGTGGCTTTAAGAAAGAAAATTGACAGTAAATTTACCTACCCTGAAATGCACGTGGGATTCGCATGCTGACAAACAGCCTACACACCATCCACGAAGTTGCATCATGCGCAACTGAAAAAAGAGTTCTTTTTAATTCAGTGGGATAATTCTGCTAAAGATATGATATTCCTATTACATATGAGTTCAAATTTAATACTGCAGGTCTAAAACACGAGAGGCCCACGGGCCTTATAGGTCACCCGAGTGTCGCACAACTTTCAAACAATTAAAATTGGTTCGTGTTTTAAACCAGGGGCACTGAAATTCACAACAATTTTCAAAGAGGCAGCATTGCTTAAATCATAATTATAAACTAAGCATGCTTACTCTATTTGCCCAATACCCAGATGTAGATCAGAGTAACAAAGATAATTGCACTTTCACTTTTATAACTAGTTGTGTACCTCATCCCAAAGGAACCACTGACCCTGGGGCCACATATTTCAAAACTGTGCAAATTTTATCCTAAAATGGTTGATTAATACTAAAGAACAGATTTCAAAGCATTGATTTATCCCCCCCCCCCCCCCCGACCAGGGGGCATAAATAATAACCATTTTTGCTAGATGCACATTTCTTCATCATTAATATATAAACTTGGATCATTGGCATAAAACCCAGGAGCAAAGGAAAAGATTTTCAAAGAATTAATGCATTTTCACTATATAATCAATAGAGCCCCGCCCTAATACCACAACCTCTGATTTTGGGGCCATAAAATTCACAATTTTGGTAGTGGCACTCTTGCTCATCATAACTATGTGTTTAGTTAGTTCATTTAATACCCGGAAGCAGATAAGAAGACTTTCAAAGAATAAATGCATTTTCACAATATGATCAATAGAGCCCCGCCCTAACACCAGAACCCCTGACCCTGGGGCCATGAAATTCACAATTTTGGAAGAGGCACTCTTTGGTCAACATAACTATGTGTTAAGTTAGTGCATTTAAGGTTTCGTCAAAGGTCAACATATCTTAAAAAATTATTTTAACAATAGCTCCAAAACTATTTGTGGTATAAAGTCAAAACGTTTACAGTTTATAAATATATCATTGATTGATAGATAGAAAGTATCACTTGATGACAAATATTTTTAAAAAGATGTTTTTTGAGAAAAATTGTATCAGGAAATGTGCATATTTTAAGAAAAATGCACCTGCTTTATTCTGTCTTTTTTGTGTAAACCATCATTGCAGAAATAATATGTGTTTATCATTAAAGGGCAAGTTGCACATGAATGGTCTCTGAAAGGCTGTTATTGAAAGCATGACAAGTATAAAGACAAGACCCCTATAAAATCCGCCATTTACATTATACTTTCACTTTCAAGTCTTAACATTTGGACAAAATAAACAGGGAAAACATCTTTCCAGAGGCTATCCAAGTCCAACTTGCCCTTCATTGATAAACATATTTTGTTTCTGCAATAATGGTTTTCAATAAGATCGTTGAATTAATTAGGTGTATTTTTTTTAAATATATGCATTTTTAAGAAGAATTTTTCTCAATATTTTGTCCAAGTATTTTTTTTATCAAGTGATACTTTCTATCTGTTAATCAATGAAAAATGTATAAACTGTAAAAGTTTTAACTTTATACCTCACATAGTTTTGGGGCTATTGTAGAAATAAATTTTTGGCCATGTTGGCCTTTGACGAAACCTTAATACCCAGAAGCAGAGAAGATTTTCAAAGAATAAATGCATTTTCACAATATGATCAATAGAGCCCCGCCCTAACACCAGAACCCCTGACCCTGGGGCCATAAAATTCACAATTTCGGTAGAGGCACTCTTGCTCAACATAACTATTTACTTAGTTGGTTTACTTAATAACCAAGAGCAGAGAAGAAGATTTTCAGAGAAATAATGCATTTTCACTGTAAAATCTATATAGCCCAACCCTAGCACAAAAACCACTGACCCTGGGGCCATGAATTTCACAATTTTGGTATAGGACTCAATTCTCATTACATTCATGCCAACAGTTTGCCTGCTTGATGTCCAGAAGTAAAGAAGAAGATTTTTAAAGATCGCAATAATTTTGGTTGTTTTGGCCCCACCCCTCAAGGCCCCAGGGGGAGAAGGGGACCAAAACATTCACAATTTTTGTTCCCCTTCGCCCATAAATGCTGTATACCAAATTTTGTTGAAATTGGTTCAGTGGTTTCAGAGAAGAAGCTGAAAATGTTCAAATGTTAACACACGTCGGACGACGACGGACAAAAACAGATAGCAATAGGTCACCTGAGTTACACAGGTGACCTAAAAATCTATTGTGACGTCATATTCAGTCATTGGCAAGTTTAGTTTCCATCTCAACTGAAATCAACAATTGACACCAACAGTATACAAGAGATATTTCGTATACTGCGATGGGATATTGAAAGGTCGCGATAAAGTTCATCATCCGACTCTGCTTAACTGGCATTGGTCAAAGAATTCTCTCCTCGTTCAACCACGGCCAGAATGGGAGAGGATCTTACATTTTGGCCGTGGCGTGCAACGATGCCGGGGGTAGGCCGGGGCCAAAATGGCCATTCAAAGTTTTAACATAGAAATATATAGGGAAATTCTTTAAAAATCTTCTTCTCGAGAGTATCAAAGCCATAATTGATCATATTTATATGGAAGCGTCCTCAGATAAGGTAGATTCAAGTTTGTTCAAATCATGACCCCCGGGGGTGGGGCGGAGCCACAATGGCCAATGTTTTACAGACATATATAGGAAAATTCTTTAAAAATCATCTTCTTAAGAATAAAGCAAAGCCATGACTGATCATGGGACTACTTTTGGATTTTAACCTTTCAATAATAAACCAATTTCTACTTTTTCCTAGCCACAGTGCTCAGATGAGCAATGTAGCCCTTGGGCCTCTTGTTTAGCTCTACTGGTCAGAGACCAGAAAAGCGAATGCGATAGTAATGCGTCCAGTGTCCTTCCGTCTGTCTGTCTGTCTGTAAACAATTTTTCAAAATGCTACCCCTCCTACAGTTTTGGTCTGTTCTCAATATAACTTGGCACACAAGTAGACTACACTAAGATACACAATTCTGTGTATCGGTTCTTTATTTCGATGAACAATGTTGCCGTGGTTACAAAAAAACCCCATAAATTTCTTTTGAATTTTTTTTCAAAATGCTACTCCTCCTACAGTTTTGGTCTGACTTCAATATAACTTGGCACACAAGTAGACTACACTAAGGTACATAATTCTGTGTATCGGTTTTTGATTTGGACGAACAGTGTTGACGTTGTTACTAAAAATAGAAATTTCTGTGAAATTTATTTAAAATGCTACGTCTCATACAGTTTCGGTCTGATTTCAATATAACTTGGCACACAAGCAGACTTCTCAAAGGTACATAACTCTGTGTATCGGTCTTTGATTTTGTTGAACTGTGTGGACGTGGTTACTAAAATTAGAATTTTCTGTGAAATTCTTTCGAAGTGCTACTCCTCCTACAGTTTTTTTTCTGATTTCAATATAACTTGGCACACAAATAGACTACACTAAGATATATATGTCACAGGGTGAATTATAATTAATTAATTAATATTACTAATTATCATTCATATCATTTTCATATCTTATTATGAGGCATTATTTTATAGTAACTACTGAATTCCGTCGTCACTACGGAATTTACTACGTTCATTCACTGCCTTATTCATTCATTCATTCATTCATTTATACGGGTGAGTGGTCAGTGAGAGTATTCGGGTGTGTGAGTGGTTAAACAGGTTTTTCTATGTCTACTGCGCATTCGCGCCAATACTAACTCCTCGAGCACTCCAACCTTAGACTTTGGGGAGGGAAGACGTTCTCTCTCCCCAACACAACTTTATATCTTACGATATTGTGGCAATAAGTCTAGGATTACGGTAAGAAATAATTGTTAAATATTTCTTAGTATTCAATTATTACTCAGTATCTATTTGATCATTTTATTTAACTGTAGTGATTTCTAAATTATCTAAATTCATAAGTTTAAATTATCCGCGTAAAAGTGTGAGTGAGGTGTGGAATATTAAATACATGTTTTATTATATTGCAGATCACCCTTTTTCTGATTACGTATAATATATTAAACAGTATCGAACCCAGCAGCCATATTTGTGTTCATTTTTACAACTACAATACCTAGACATAGGCTGTGACAATGGCGCCCACACGTTGGTTTTAATTATACTTTCTTCGTTGGATTGAATCGTTGGAGTTCATCATGATCATTTATTTATTCATTATATCTTCCATTTTCCTTGGCTAGCCGTATTTTCTTTTTCCACTACTAGTATACCTGTGCGCTATTTAAACCCGCTCGAGCATGACTGAACATTGGTCACCATTCACCAAACTTTTCGCCGATCATCAGCTGTTTGTATAGGGATCGACATGTGTACACCCGTCCGTTAGGCCTGCACCGCTGGAAAACGTATATATCTGGACATTCCGCGTGCCATCCAAAATTCCAGGGACTGTGACTTTTTCATAATTTATATATTTATTCTATTGACTGTTAAATTTCATTCTATTGTGTTTAACTGTTTAATATCGTATTGTCATTGTTTATTTATATACGTGAGTGAAGCGTGTGCATGTAAGAAAGTGTAAAACTTAAATAACGCAATTTAGTTCAAATTTAGTACACACTCAGGTATTACAGCGAAGTAAGTGACAAATTAACATGTCAGCATGTGCTAACATTTTCATTGCACTCTACTAACGTTCTCATTTTTTTGAGCAGAGGAAATTCGGGTGAGCAGGTGCGTGTTTGATTGACACAGTTTGAAGTCATCATTTAGATCATTCATTTCATTCATCATAGTTATTATATTGACATTGCTCATATTTGACTAACTTTATTGAATTGAATCTACATAGCTTATTTTTATAGATTTACAGGCTCCTGATACACTGTTTGCAGTATTTACAGTTCTAATATTTCAGATTACGTACGCGATACAGGTGTAGCAGTTTCAAATATTAATTACTATTTTCTTTATTACAGGTTACCAGTAATCACCAGAATTTAGACCAAAACTTACTTTTGTATTTAGTTTGTATTGAATTGTTTTAGGAGTTTAATTTATTTTAATTAGTTTCGATATTTAATGAGTAATAGTAAATTACAGAAATATTTAGATAAACCAGTAGATCAGAAGAAATTAGTTAGTCAACCAGTATTGATTAGTACAAGTTTAGGTAACTACCTGAAAAAACATTTAGATCTATTGAAAGAATATCATTTATACTTGCATTTTGAATGTAGACCTGGTGCTCGATTTACAGATTTTTACCGCTGGTTAAATTACAATTTACGTGCTCTTTTGGAACAGTACGGCCATTTGACGTTGTATATTTGGCTGGGTACATGTGACATCACAAGGAAATTTGGTAAGTTTATTTCTTTAGTTTCTGATGATTCTCAGTCTATTGTAGAGAATGTTGTTCACCATATAGATAGTTTTCATTCAATTGTCAAAGAATTTAAGGGAGTTAAACTCATATTTTTGGAAATTCCCCCTTATTCTATCGCAGAATGGAATAAAAGCAGAGGACATTGTGATCCTGATAGTTTTCTTGTTCAGGACAAAGTTTTGATCGAAATTATCAATTCCATTAATTTTCATTTAAGGGAAGTCAATGACAAATTATCTGTTTATAGTCCCAGGTATAAGCTAGATGTTTTGAAGTATAGAAAAGAGAAAGACAAATCTCAAAGAGTTTCATTGAATTTTCAATTGTATTTGGATGGAGTACATCCTGAACCAATGTTAGCCAGAGTGTGGTTAAAAAGACTTATTGAGAACATTTTTGTACATTGTTCCTAGATGTCTTAATATATACAGTGTTATTGATACATTACTGTTACACTTGGAGCAGGTATCTGTTGGCAGGGACTGACCCAATCACAGAATTCTTACCTGTTATCCAATACACTGTATCATAGATTTGTTCATGTATGTAGTATTACACTGTTGGGTTTGTGTTGGTAGGGATTGACCCAATCATACTTTTATACCTTATCAGTTGTTTTACTATTGCATGTTATATTTCTGTCATTTATTTACATAATGGCAGACTCGGGTAAGGTGGCAGACTCAGGTAAGGAAGAAATAGATAAGAAAAAGTCAGATAAGAAAGACTCAGGTAAGGAAGAATCAGGTAAGAAAAAGTCAGATAAGAAAGACTCAGGTAAGGAAGAAACAGGTAAAGAAACGACAAAGATGCCATCAGCTAAGGTAGAAACAAAGGAGGATACAGGTGCAAGTTCTTTACAGCATCACATATCTGAGGTACAAAAAGATCCAAACTACAGAGTCTTAACTAAGGAGGAGTATGATCTCTTAGTAAATGCTAGTTTAAAGCAAGGTAAAACTAGTACCCCTTTAGTTAAAACAAAGATCTCAACAATGGAAAAAGTCTTACATAGTGCAGGTAAACCAGTGCATTTTGATTTTCCAAAGACACCAGATGTCCCTCCTACCCCTACATGTACAATTAGCACCCAATACAACTTTCCAAAGTTACCAACATTTAGTGGTGCTGATGATTCCAAGCAAGGTGAGGTGAAATATGAAGTGTGGAACTTTGAGGTCAAATGTCTTCAAAATTCAGGTCAGTACCCGGAGCACATTTTATTACAGTCGGTAAGAAATTCACTGAAAGGGCTTGCCCGATCAATGTTAGTGTCTATTGGAGAAAATGCTTCTCTGAAAGATATTCTAACCAAACTTGATGGATTTTTTGGAAATGTTGCTTCAGGGGAAACTCTTATGCAATCTTTTTATAATGATATGCAAAAAGAGGGAGAATCACTTGTAGTGTATGCATCTAGATTAGAGGATACATTATCCAAAGCTATAAAATATGGCCATATAGATGCCGTTGCAAAAGACGGTATGCTTAGAAGCAAATTTTGGACTGGTTTGTACAATGTACAGTTAAAACAAAGTACAAGACATTTATTTGACTCAATTAAGAACTTTGAATATCTTCTTAGGGAAATTAGAAAAGTACAACAAGAAGAATTGTCAACACCAGTGAGAAAGACACAGAGAGCATTCCAACAGGCAGAGAGAGCAGAAACAACAGATTTACAAAAGGAACTGCAGAAACTGACATCAACGATGCAAAGGTTAGAGAGCAAAATTGACAGTAACTCTCAAAGTTTTCAACAATTAAGCAGTAAAGTAAATCAGTTAGAAAAAATGTCAAACCAACAAAGTCCAAATTTTAGTGGGTCAAGTAGAGGTAGAGCAAGAGGATTTGGTTTTCGTGGAAACTCTGGTCGAGGCTATGTCCGCGGACGAGGTCAATTTCGGGGTCAAGGTCATTTCAGTGTAAATGAAAATCAAACTCAATCAAATAATCAAGTGCCTCAAAAGAGTAACAATTCAACAAACTAGTTACCTCTTCTATTAAACGGCAGATGGGGGAGGAATCTGTAAATAAAAGCCCTAAAAAGAATTTGTTGTCAAGAATGGTGGGTCAATCAAATGAAAGTAAGATCATTTATTAATGGTGTTGAGACAAATGCTTTGATAGATACAGGTTCTATGGTTACATGCATGTCAGAAGCGTTTTACAACTCATTAAGTCATAAACCTGAACTTCATAGTATTGAAGATTTTGAGTTGAAAGTATTTAGTGCAGAGGGTAGTACTTTGCCATATTCAGGTTGTGTGGAAGTTGAATTTCAAGGTACCTTTTCTGTCAAAAGAATCATTCTATGTACCAGTCTTAGTTATGAAGGGAACAGAATACGGTAGTAAAGTCCCAATAATTGTTGGTACTAATATTATAAGACTGTGTAGAGAATATTATAAGTGCATAGAAACAACTATTCCAGATGAATGGGAATTAGCATTTACAAATTTAAGTGTTGATAGTGATATGCCTGTCAAAAGCACAAATAAATATCCCATTACTGTAGCACCATATGAGGTAAGAACAATTTCTGGATTAGTTAAGACCATGGACAAGGTGAGTACTGCTATAACAGAGCAAATAGATACAAATCAAAATGGCAGTCTTGTGATATGTCCAAGAGTTGTTACAATCAAACGTGGCAAAACTTCCCGTGTACCTGTTCGTGTTTGCAATATGTCAGCACAACCAATCAAAATAGCACCAAAATCAGTCATTTGTAATGTAAGTGCTGCAAAGGTGGTAGATACTTTAGATTCACCATTGTTAGATTCCAAGGACAATACATCTTTTAATCTTGTGGATGCAGGTATAAAGGTTAATCATAACAACTTAACCTCAGATCAGTCAGAAGAGTGTCATAATTTTCTTAATAAGTGGAAGCACATCTTTTCTACATCTTTTAAGGACATAGGGAGAACAGATTTAGTAGAACATGAAATCAAACTAACAGATAATGTTCCTTTTAAAGAACCATACAGAAGGATTCCACCAGCAATGTTTGAGGAGGTAAGACATCATCTCAAAGAAATGCTAGATGCTGATGCTATTAGAAAATCTAAAAGTCCTTATTGTTCCAATGTAGTACTAGCCAGAAAATCAGACGGTTCACTCAGGTTTTGTATAGATCTCAGGAAGTTAAACAACAAAACTATTAAAGATGCATATAATCTTCCTAGAGTGGATGAAACAATTGACACTTTAATTGGCAGTAAGTATTTTTCTAAGTTAGACTTAAGATCTGGTTATTGGCAGGTGGAGATCAAAGAGGAAGACAAACATAAAACTGCATTTTCGCTTGGTCCACTTGGTTTTTATGAATGCAACCGTATGGCATTTGGCTTGACCAATGCGCCCGCTACATTTCAGCGGCTTATGGAAACTTGCATGGGTGAGATGAATCTTAAGGAATGTTTGATATTTTTAGATGATATACTTGTATTTTCATCTACTTTTGAAGAACATTTAGAGAGGTTGCAGGGTGTTTTCAAAAGATTAGAAAAGCATAATTTGAAATTAAAACCCTCAAAATGTGAATTCTTTATGTCAGAGGTCAAATATTTAGGACATATTGTGTCTGAGAAAGGTATTCAAACAGACCCTGATAAAATATCAGCTTTGAAAACATGGCCTGTCCCTAAAAATATCAAATCATTACGTTCTTTCTTAGGATTCACTGGTTATTATAGGCGTTTTGTTAAAGACTATGCCAAAATTGTAAAACCCCTAAATGATTTATTAGCGGATCACCCTACAAACAAACGTGCAAACAAGTCAAAGAAAAAGAAAGTACCTTGGATTTGGGGTAAAACAGAACAATCAGCTTTTAATACCCTTATAGAAAAACTTACGTCACCCCCTATTTTAGCCTATGCAGACTTTTCCCAACCTTTTATTGTAAATATTGATGCTAGTAGGGAAGGTCTTGGGGCTGTTTTATACCAGAATCAAGGAGGGGTAGACAGGGTTATAGCTTACGCAAGTAGGGGATTGCGCCCCAGTGAATGCAATTACCCCGCCCACAAATTAGAATTTTTATGTTTGAAATGGGCACTGTGTGATAAATTCCACGATTATTTATATGGAAATACATTTACTGTCTATACTGACAATAACCCTTTAACATATGTTACAACTACTGCTAAGTTGGATGCAACATCGCACCGCTGGTTAGCGTCTCTTTCGAATTACAATTTTAAATTTGTTTACAAAACTGGCAAATCTAATAGAGATGCTGATGGGTTGTCAAGGAGACCGACAGAGGTAGAAGTTTTTCCTGAGATTATAAAAGCTTTAACATCCGCAGTTTTAATTCAGAAGGAAGAACTCCCTTTAGCCGAATGTTTAGTTTTATCACAGAACGCCCAGTTAAAACATGTAGAAATAGAGACTCAGAATACAGATGATAGTACAGACCCTGAGACGTGCTACTACCCCAAAAAAGCGTGTGACGTTCGTGCGCTTTCCGTTTCGTGCAAACCGTGTAGCGTTTCGTGTAAACCGTGCAGCGTTTCGTGCAAACCGTGTAGCGTTTCGTGTAAACCGTGCAGCGTTTCGTGTAAGCTCCAAAGCGTTTCGTGCAAACCGTGTAGCGAGCGTGCGAAAAGCGTGTGAGAAACGTGCGACTTTCGTGTAAGAACCGTGTGAGAAACGTGCGACTTTCGTGCAAGAATCGTGTAAGATTCATTCGGAAGTCATTTCATTTTAAATATGGCTATTGATGGGTCAGGATGTAAAATTCTATTAGTATTTTATTACTGAATTAGTTATGCTTGTGATATTATAGGAGTAAAAACAAAAAGAAATGGAACAACAAAATGAAATTAAACGGTAATGTATAATTTATATTTGTTTGATTTCTTTTCCTTCTATAGAAAATGTGTTCAAATTAGTCAGCTATGTACAACAATTTAAAGGGCATTGAATTCAATATACTATCAACGCAATCATGGCTTCTTAAATATTTTCTTCTCAAAGAAAGAAAGAAATACCGGTATTATTTTTTTTTTATTTAAAGCAAAAATATAGCAGGACTCCGCTCTTGTCTTTACATTTGAGACGATGTGTCATTTAATACTTTTTAATACATAAAACTTGCTGCTCATTGTTGTCAAATAAATGGATTTTATAATTTTAATTCACATGCACTGACGACCACATCTTTATAAACGAAGGGGGGGGGGTAAATTAAATTGCTAATACAGTCTTTCATTTTTTGTTGTAACTTTCAATCTAATGTTAGTTTCAGCTATTTAAATGCTTAATTTTCTATTCTTTTTTAAATCCTATGTTAAATGTGTGCGCAGATAGACCCCTTAAAATTGTATTTGAATCTTCTTTCCGCCTTTTAACTGTGATCAAGGTCATTTACAACAACGATCACGGGCTCCGAGTGCATGGCAACGGAAAACCTGTTTTGCTATATGTACATGTTGAGTTCATGGCTTAATGACACCTGAAAATTACGACTGGATTTTTTTTTTTAATAAAATGGTTCTATAAATATTTAATGGGTACAACTTATAAATCAGTGGATTTCATCATTTATTTGTAAATCCGAATTTCTAGCCGTAAACAGTAAAATAAACAGAACTGATTTGGCAGTCTTTTCATGAATATCATGTAAGAAAAGCGTAGGAGTAAATCATGAATAATTGTATATTATTTGTTTTATAAATCACGTACTTTTTATTTCATCTATGATATTTCAGTTTTCTTGTAATATACCTGAATGCCGGTGTAAAGATCGATCTATATTGTATGTACAATGTATAGTCAAATGCGGCGACTATTAATAAATGTGCACATATATACATACTTTTAGTCCTGTTTTGAAATGAAGGATTTTATAGTATGATGGGTATACTGACGTTATTTGATAAGCTTCATGTAAAAAGAGAATAGAATAGATTAATAGACCACATGAACCCCCCCCCCCTTTACCGGTTTCTCTCCTATTGATAATGCTTGCGTAAAATAAAAAAGAAATCTTTAAAAATGTATCAATAATCGTTAGTAGAGTATATAGCCAAATTTTATTACTAATTTAAAATCAAAATCACGAAAAACGCCTACGGAAATCAAACACAATATAATTAATATTATTAAAAATCAATGAGTTAATATTCCTGCGGGAAGAAATCGAATTTGTGTTTAATTTATTAAATTATACTCGTAAAATATTACATTGAAATGAATGACTAATACCTGTATATAAAAATTGTATTTTATTAAACAGTCATTCAGGATATCGGCATTTCGTTTTTAAACAGTTGGATAAATAAATAAATAAATTCGAACTGACAATTATTTATCAATTAATTACAACTGTCAGAGTATTAGATATTTCTATCGGTTTATATAATACAAGTGTACTGAAATTTAATTTAAACAGCTGCTTAATGTGGCTTTGTGAAAGATTTCCATTGAATTAATGATAAAACGGTAATAACAGAGATTCCGAGTAGAAAAATCCAAAAGCTGCGAGAATTGCACAAAGCGTGTGAAAAACGTGTACAAAGCGTTTCGTGCAGCCTTTCGTGTAAACCGTGCAGCCTTTCGTGCAAATGTAAACCGTGTAGCGTTTCGTGCAAACCGTGTAGCGTTTCGTGTAAACCGTGCAGCGTTTCGGGCAAACCGTGTAGCGTTCGTGTACCGTTCGTGCAGCGAGCGTGTGGGGTAGTAGCACGTCTCAGGGTCTGTACTAGCAACATCAACTGGAGAGAACAACAAGGTCACCAAGGTAGGGATAAGACATTATGGTTAGCAAAGCAAAGATTTTTTTGGAATGGGATGGATAATGATATTAAATCCAGAGTAGAAACCTGTGGAAGGTGTGTAAGAAGAAAAGTAGGTGATACCCCAAGGGCTGATCTTGTTAACATTCAAAGTACCAAACCCTTAGAAATTTGTGTATAGATTTTTTATCTCTTGAAAGATCAAAGGGTGGATTTGAAAATATACTGGTGATCACAGATCATTTCACTAGATATGCAATGGCTGTGCCAACAAAGAACCAACTTGCTAGAACAACAGCAAAAGTATTATTTGAAAATTTTATATGTCACTATAGTTTTCCTGAAAGATTACATTCAGATCAGGGAAGAAATTTTGAAAGTAAAGTTATTAAAGAACTTTGTAAATTAGCAGGTGTGAGTAAATCACGTACAACACCATATCACCCCATGGGTAATGGTCTGGTTGAACGTTTTAACCAAACTTTGCTAAAGATGTTAGGAACTTTAGAA